CTCTGTTTCAACATACAGATGTTTCAGTCTCCTCATTGGGCATCTGGATATTTTTGAACCTTGGACAGCAGAAATTCATAAGAGAAGTCTTCGCCATTATTGTTTGGGTTACACACCCTGCTAAGCTCTAATTACAGTTTGCAAGCCAACTCTGGTTCATAAAGCACAGTAAGCCGAAATCAACCAGACTGAATGTTGACTTTGAGTGTTCTTTGAATCCAACAATATCATAGGAAGCTTATATCTCCTACAAATGATGACAAAGCTATTATCAGTTAATATTTTTCAATCTAGACCAAATGCCCAGAAAAATCTTCTCAATGTCTTGTCTCTATTTTGGCACAAGTATCCAGTCCTGCTTGATCTTACGGAACCCAACCGTCAGAAGCAATTTTAGCTGCTTCTATTGATCTCACCAAATTTGAATCAAAGAAATTCAGGTTTTGGGTGGGAGTTCTGATCTTCCATCATTGTATCAATCTGGAGTTCTTGATGTAATAGTTTAAGAAGCAGCTACCAGAATAAGCAGTGAGAAACAGCTCATTCTAGTTCTGATTTCACGAGAGGCGAAGCTGAAACTGGGAAAGAGGATGTTTCATAATTAAAAAAAGCCCTCTCTGCTTTAGAATGTCTACACCACTAGGATCTTACAAAAGTCCTAAAGTGACTGAACATAATTAAGTGGAATGAAAACCTCTAGAGTGGGGATTCTTTTGGAGAATATGCCTCAGAAAGGTTTTTTTTAAACTCTACAGTGAAATTTTGCCCGTGAAAAGATGTGATATCAGAATATAGAACGTAAAAGCTAGAAGGGATCTTGAAGGAGTCTCTCCTCAAGGCAGGAGTCCTTATTCCATCCTGGATAAATGGTTGTCCAGTCTCTTCTTGAAAATCTCCAATGATGGAGCACCCATAATTTCAGGAGGCGAGCTACTCCATGGATTAATTGTCCTTAGTTCCATATTGGGTATTGGGTATATCTAATTTAATTGGATATGTCTAGTTTAATGAAAAGAAGGACTAGGGGTGATATGATAGCTGTGTTCCAATATCTCAGGGGCTGCCCCAAAGAAGAGGGAGTCAACCTATTCTCCAAAGCATCTGAAGGCAGGACAAGAAGCAATGGATGGAAACTAATCAAGGAGAGAAGCACCCTAGAATTAAGGAGAAATTTCCCGATTGTTAGAATCATTAACCAGTGGAACCACTTGCCTCCAGAAGTTGTGGATGCTCCAACACTGGAAGTTTTTAAGAGATTGGACAACCATTTGTCTGAAATGGTATAGGGTTTCCTGCCTGAGCAGGGGGTTGGACTAGAAGACCTCCAAGGTCCCTTCCAACTCTACTCTATGTTCTATGTATTATTTAGTGTATTATATTTGCTATTGCAATTCATGAAGTAATGACTGAAGCTATCTTTAATTATCCTGCTGAGTCAAGAGATACTTTTAAGGGGTATACGTTAGGTCTATTTTTTTTAAGGTGTATAAGGATCACTTCCTTTCCAACCTTTATCTGTTGCATGGTGGAATCCAAGAATTTCAACTTTCATTCCAAAATCAAATAACTTCCAAGGGACTGGAATAATTCTGTTCCCAATTCTGGTTATAAGTCAGGGGCTCTCTTATTCCATTTTTCGTGGTACAATCCTCTCTCTCTGGAACCGTGCATGCTTCATGGCTTCCAAACCTTTAATTAAATCCAAAAGAGACATTCTCTTTCAACTGGGAATGGATTTTTCCAACTATACATATGCATAATCAGAAATGCTATGGAGTTACGGGCAACTAAGGACAGAATATTCCTTCTACCATCTCTCAAATCAGTTTAAAAGTTCCATGATGAGAAAGGAGAAATTCTCAAGCACTCTAAGAATAGGGTAGAAAAGCAGAGACATCTTTTGCAGAAGAAGGCAATTTACAACAAAATCTCCATGTAGATTTTGGACTTGCAGAGTCTGAATTATTTCTAATTATACTTCAAAATTCTATGTCTTCAACAAAGAAGTGATTCTATAGATAAGGGTTTTGACCAAAAAGAGTAATATGACCTAAAACTTGTCAAGTTAGTCTAGAAAAGATGTCCATTGCAATAAATGATCTCCAGTTGAAATTAGTATGTCCTATTCAGGTTATTGATTAACTATACATTTTTGAAATATGTGAATCCTAAATGAAATAAAGGCGACCTTGATATCAAGTTGAAGACAGAGAAAGAAAAGAGAGCAAAGTGTTAATGAAGCCAAAGGGCACTATTAATTAGTGACCTATAAATAAGTGGCAATAGATAGATTGATTGTCCCTCTGAAGATGAACCACAGTGACACACCTTAGTACAAAAACCTACCTTTACTTCATTGAAGCTTTCAACAGTAGATCATTGAAACCTACTGGGGTCAACAACTCATCAGTCTTGATCTTACCTAGCATTCAAGTAGACTCTTGAAGAACAATTGTTGATACTCTTCAAGTTTTCTAAACAATCATAGTTCCACAGAGAATTTAGGAATGAAAAAAAGTGTACTTACTTCATTCGTGTTGACTTCTATGATCACAATTCACCATCAGTGTAGATCCAGTCTCAACTGGAGATGGTGCCTTTATGACTGGAAGAAACATGGAAGACCTGTACAGTTTATCAATGCATATGGAAGAACCCAATCTAAGAGACGTAGAATATGTTTCTCTAGTGAAGTCTTACTCATATCTTTGTAGGGTGTTTTGTTCAAATGGTTTCTTATAAATCAAATCTAATGTGCTAGACCATTGTTTGTGAAGTGCTGGTTAACCCTTGGGAGGGGGGGTGTCAATGCTAATTAATTAAACAATGCATTTAGTGGCAGAAGATTATAGTTTTTTGTATAAAACAAAGGCATGTGGCTCCAGTAATGAATTGTTCTGTTCCTAGAATTCATGGGAAGAATGTCAGTTTGCATTGTTTTTATGGAATTTTGTTGATGTCCATGTCCATCTGGACGTCTTCTGAAATCTCTGGAGATGTCTGTTAAACTGTGACTTCCATAGCCCTTCGTAAATGTAGCATTTTTATAAATAGACTTATGAGGAGATGACCATCGGGCATCCATTATAATGGATCCATGGCATTTGACTGTCCACCCAAAAGAGGTCAAATAGGTTCCCATAAATTTCATTGGTGATCTTTTATGAGAGACCTACAGCTAAGCTAAGAAGTTAATGGCCTCAGAAGAATGGAGATATCCCTAGAGATAGCCCAAGCACCATGAAATTCATTATCCATAACCTTAGATGGAATATATATATATATATATATGGCCACTTTGTCTCCTATTGGAGACATTTTAGCTTTTTGATCAGTATTGATCTCCAGAAGTGGTGACCTTTTTTGGAAGTTATTGGGGTTGGGACTGAGGAATAATTTGATGGACCTTTAGTACACGTCACCATTGCAATGGTCATGTTCTCACATGAAATGTTCTCCTTGTGCTTCCAGGAAAGCTCAGCTCTGACTAAAATCCAGATCCCCATTATTAGTAGTATTTTTATTTATTATCAGATTTATTAGTTGCCCATCAGATTAGTACAATACTATGATCACCGTAATACACATAGTATTGAAATCTGCCTATTCATAGAGTTTGTTCTCTCCAAAAGCATCCATTGATTGTTCAACCATAGCTAGGTTGCAGAAAGAAAGTTATGTAGGACAAATGTTGAATGTTAGGATCCTTGATTATATTTTTAATTGTGGTTTTGAATGATTTATTTGAGGCACACAAAGTCTTTCTGGAGTTAGGTAACTTTACAAAAGGCAATAATAATTCTATAAATAAAAATCTAGAACCCCATACTTTTTGCTTCTTTCGCCTTTATAGGATTAATTATTATAGGATTGAGATTATTTAATCCTAATCTATAGGATTAAGGACATAATAAGAGTTCTTTACATAAGGATCCATATGCTGGGTGCCTGGTGGCTTCTTTCACCTTTACAGGTCTGAGATTATTGCAGGATTGTGATTATTTAATCCTAATCTATAGGATTAAGGACGTAAGGAGAATTCTTTGCATAAGGACTTATCTCATATACTGAGTGCCTGGTGGCTGTCCCTCCAGAAAAACCCACCCAAAAGCCCTTAATGGTCCAAATCAAAAGTCAATGGGCAACGTAGAGAAGAGCAGGACGATAGATTAAAGTCTTAATGATGTGGTCAGCTAATTTCTAGGTTGCCCTTGAAGGAAAGAATTAAGATAAACTTAATTAAGAAGTTGGAGAAGAGACAGTCTGAAGGTAGAAGTTCAAATGAACTATTGTTCAGACTTGATTGCTTTTGGTCCAAGGATTACTTTAGATCATTGAAGAGCACCAGGTGTACCCATAAGTAGCTAAACCAAACCATCCCCACCCTTTAGGAGAAATTGCATTGCATTTAGAGATGGATGAAGATTCTGTGTATATGAGTGATATAATTTAAAGAAGCTCCATCAACATTTTCTTTGCACCTTCTGGAAAATCTGGAACCCAAACTAAATTTATTTTCACCACCAATGATTGTCCAACTAAGCTTGTATCTTGGATCTGATGAGCCATTGAGAATGAAAGAGCCTTGACCTATGACCGCAGCTGAGCCCAACATTTGCTAAGTGAATTTTGCCCCGTTTTATAAGCTTTCTCACCACAGTTGCTAAGTAAATCATTGTAGTTGTTAAGTTGCTACCACAGTTATTAAATAAATCTTTGCTTGTCAAGAGGTTGCAAAAGGGAATTGCATGACCCAAGGACACGGCAACCGTCATAAACATGAACCAGTTGCCAAGCATCCAAATTTTGATCACGTGATCAAAGAAATACTGCAATGGTCTTAAGTGTGAAAAATGGTCGTCAGTCCCTTTTTTTCAGTGCCGTTGTAAATTTGAATGGTCACTAAACAAATTGTTCCAAGCTGAGGATTGCCTGTACATTGATTTAGCAGAATTCAACGTCTATTCTAAATGTAATTTCATAAAAACAACAACAACAGCGAGAATGAAATGTACACATCTTTATTGATCTTCTAAAGGTAGAAACGAAGAGGACAACAGGAGGTGGATAGATTTCAAGGGGTTTCAAGGCATTGGGAGGCTACAGACTGTAACTAGATGATGCAGAAATAGATGTTATTGATCAAACTAGAATTAGGAAAGGGGGGGGAAGAGAGAGAACCCTGGAGTAGGGTCAGAGGAATTCATGATGGAGTTAACAACTTCCGGATCTTAACACAGTCTTCACATGGGTGTTTTCTCCATGCCTCACTTCACAGGTGTAAGAGTCATGACTTTCATAATCCGATGGACTCATTGTCAGGTAACTGCTGGCAACGTATTTGTCACCTTGCTTACTGGCTTTGGTGGTCTCCACTCCAGATGCGATTTCTTGATTATTGTCACCCTTCCATTTCAGGGTAAAGCCAGGTGGGTAAAAGTTGCTTATAAGACACACCAGGACGGGCGTACGTGGGTTTGTGATCTCTTTCTCAGATGGAATATAGACATTCAAAGTAGGTGATACTGTGGGTTGACCTGGAAGAAGAGAAATCATTTTAAGCTTTGAGCAATAAGAGCAAAGCCGATCCTAAATCCTTGGGCAAGTTGGAGACCCATCACTGCGTTCAGCTCTTGAGCCTCTTGTTTTTTTTGTTCTTGTTTTTCAATTACCCAGGTAATCATTATTATTATTATTTTTTTAATTGAAAATTTTATAAAAGTTTTACAATATACCTCCCCCCTCCCCAAACCCCACCTTCCCCTCCCCCCTCCCTCCCCCCCGACTTCCCAGAGCCAATCACAGGGTTAACAATACAATAAGCATACTCTGTCTAACATTAATCACTATTAGATTAACAAATCTATAACATCCTTTAACTCTCTTTTAAACAGACATATTAAACACAATAATTATAACATCTTATTACTAATTATAGATAAAAATAAACTACATTAACACTCTAAAGTTTACTCAAAAAACATATGAAACTTTTTAGTTCCATATTTACTCTCAATATAATCTATCCATCTTCTCCAAACCAAAATATATCTTTCTTGTGAATAATCCTTCACATAGGCAGAAATCTTAGCCATTTCTGCTAAATTTGAAACTTTGAATACCCAATCTTCTATAATGGGCAAATGTTCCGTTTTCCAACATTGAGCTACTAGTAATCTTGCAGCAGTTATCAAATTCAACATCAAATCCATTTCTTTTTTATCCAGATCTTCCATAATACCCAGGTAATCATTATTTTTGAAGGACCTCGGGACACAACAAAGCATCTCAAAATGGACATTCAGACAGGGCTTTGATAAGGAAGTCAGATTTATTACGTAAAAACCCAATTGCTTATATAAAATCAATTAAGGCAGACACCTCTTTGAGATACAAGTCAGAACCTACTTTCAGAAGGAAAAATACTTAAGAGATAACAGGAGACCATTTTGAACTATTTCTATCTGAAATACTATTCCCAGACAAGGTATGGTGACAATGAAAAGCAGTCAGGAAAGTAATAATCTGAAAAATAACATCTGGAGCTAGACTAGTAAGTGCTTAGAGATAATGGGAGTCCTCTATCAAGTAAGTAAGTTCTTGTAGCTGAAGAGCGTTGGAAAATAAAGAAAAAAATTATGATGCAAAAAATAGTTTGGACCAAACTAATTGATAATGAACAGAATATCTTAGGGTGATGGATTGGAGAAGGCTGATCCTTCTTAAAGAGTATTCAAAGTGCCGGTTTTGTTCCAGCTACTTGGTGGCCAAATAGATGATCTCAGAAAGAGTCCATTAGTCATCTTGTAAAGTACCTTCTAAACCTGGAATTGAATTGGTAACGGCAACTATGCTAACTCTGTGATTGCTCCAGACTTTTCACAACTCAGGCAACTCAACTTTTCTATGGCATTAATGAAAGCACTCTACCATTTCCTGACTAAGGACCTTCTTCTCAACATGCTGATTTTGTACATGCAGGAATGTTCATTCCCAGTGAATGAAATAGTTTATCTTGTTAAGATCTGCTAGACCAAGAAAAAGAGGAAAAAAGTCACGGAGAAGCTTTACAAAATGCTATGGAGAAGCAAAGATTAGAAGGATAAATGGACTTACCTGTGACGGTTAATTGGGTTCCACCTCCGAAGAGGAACCACAGTGACATACGGCCATACAAAAACCTCCCCTCATTTCACAACAGTTCATTGAAGATAGATCCCACCTTGGACAATGAACTGGGTTTCATAAAAGTTCAAAATGGATCTGGAGCAAACGTTGTATTCCGGAAGAACAAAAATGATGAGGTGTGAGTGGTTCATACTTGGACATCACGGAAGCCATTCATGGACAAGGAGATCATTCAAGAAAATCCAATGGATGCAGTCCCACTGATAAGTGAAGAAAACAGGCTAGATCAGAGCCATCGTTCATTTTTACACTGAATTATACAGAAGAGTCACAAAATAGCTTCTAGTGATATAGCCAGTTGTAGAACACCGAGAAGTGTTTTTGTTGGCACTTTTGTCTAAATTAAAGTGGTTTCTTATAAATTAAGGCACTAGATCATTTTGGGGTGTAAGGACCTCCCTGATTATCAGTAGGGAAACTCTTCCAGAAACCTATTTTAATTAATCATATAATGAACATATTGGCAGCCCAGGGAAGGTTACACCTGGGTTTTTATTAACTAGAATTCAGGAGACATACTGTAATTTCCACTAAAAGCATAATTTTCTACTGGAATTCATGGGGAATGGATCAACCTTTACATTCCTTCTGTGGGCAGTTCCTCTTTGTGTGTTTATTTGTCTTCTTACGGCCTTAGTTGTACAGGTGCTGAAATGTCAGTTCCATAGTTGTGCATGCAACAGGCTATCGGGAATTCATTTATTTCGGATTAAACTTTATTTATTTTATTTATTTAAAACATGTATATAGCCTTGTGGCTCCCAACTGATGTATCTAGTCTATCTGAATTCCATCTGTTTCAAGACAAACAGGTTGTGATTACTTAGGACAATATCCATAGATTTATGCTGGAGCACATGCGAATTGGCACTGAAAACTCGGAAAGAAATGAAATTCACGGAATGATAACAACGGTGTCATTATTGATCAGCGTGGTGGCTATGTGTAGTATTGGCCGCCATGTTGTTGTGATGCTAACTGGAGAGGGTTGTACTCCATCAGCTTTATTTAGTAGATCTTAGGAAGGAGAATAAAATGGTGGAAATTCTTTGGGCAAAGTTAAAGAAAGGCTTGATGGCCCTTGATACATTTCATAATTTGATTGAGGATAGGTCGCTGTATGGAATGCTACCCTTGAGATCCTTGTGGTCCATCCCTTAGGCATGAATCAGTCCTCCTGCCAACCTAGAGGCCGTGGCATTTGTAAAATCAAAAAGTCACTTGTGAAGTCTTTCCCTTAAACTTTGTTATGAAGAGGGATAATTTTACATTGAGGGGCTGCCTTATTGGCATTAAATGCCTATATCAGCCTGGTTTGGAAACACCTAAAGCCTGTCTTTATAAACTTGGTTGTTTCTAGTCTCTGAAGAAAGGATTCACAACAGTGTTTTTGTGTTTTCCAGATCCAAAATAACACCATCTTCCAGAAAGTGCATGCTGATTGTTAAATGAGGTGAACCTCTATGTGGTGCAAGGAGTTGGTATAGACATGAGAGGTCCTAGATGTTCTAGAAGTTCTTCTAGATCTGAAAAGTAAGATTACCCTCAGCCCAAGGCTAACCTCCAAATAGTTCCTGATTGGTTATCCTAGACACCAAAGTTTTCAATACGACCTAAACATGATCTATCATTGTTTCTCATCCATCTGGTACCTTTGAGATATGTTGGGTCAGCCATTTCCAAAATTCCAATACACCATGACCAATTTAATATATTCCAGTAAAGTTGAAGACACTTATGAGAAATGTCTCATTCCAAGCACAATAATGCATGGTGATATCCTCATGTTCATCAGGTCCTGAGCAACAGTGGTAGAGTGTGACTTTTAATCTTGGAATCTTTTTCCCAGATCAGGTTACCAACTGGCTTTCTGTGTTTAGAAAAGCTTAAGTGTCTGAGGAGACAGGTGGAAAGCTTGCGTTTTCATTAAAGAATGTTTAGATTTCATAGGCGGTTTCTCGTGATGGTAAAATGTGGAAAGCCTAATTTATGCTGCCTTCATGGACACAGGGAGAAGCTAAAAACTGTAGGTGGGAAATCAAAATCTTAATTCAACCCACTCTGGCCCCAGGTTTTATCCTATACATTCCCAGGTCTACTATCCTCTCTTTTGAAGATCAATGTAATACACTATCATTTGGAACTAGAGGGGAAATAACTTGTGTGAGTGGACAAATGTACAAAAACTTCACGGCATCTGAAACTAGACGCACCCTTTCTTCAATGACAACGGATTCAGCTCTCTCCTTCTTAATATTGGAGCTGGCTGATATCTGTGAGGAACCGAATGTTGAAAGCATACAGCCTTGTCTTCCCACAACTACTCCTCTTAATAAATTCGGCAAAACAGTCACACAAATGAAATACATCCATCTTTATTAATGTGCTGACAGTAGAATCTAGCAGATCAAGGGGGGGGAAATCGATTTGAAGGGCGAAGGTAGAGAGGGGATACAAAGAGTGTAACTACATGGGATAGAAAGAGACACTATGGATCACACTAAAGTTTAGGAAAGAATGAATGAGAGCCCAGGAGAAGGGACTCCGTTCTCCTGCCGAATGGAGTTAACAACTTCCAGATTTTGACACACTCTTCACAATGGTCTTGCCTTCATGCCTCACTTGACAGGTAAAAGTGTCATAGTTTTCATAGTCAGATGCATTCAATTTCAGGTAACTGCTGGCAAGGTATTTGTCCCCTTGCTTGGCGGCCTTAGTTGTCTCCACTCCAGATGTTTTCACTTTACCATCACATTTCCATTGCACTTCGAGACCACGTGGGTAAAAGCCGCTCACGAGACAGACCACGGTATGTGGGTTCGGGCTTCTGATCTCTTCCGGGGAAGGAGCAAAGACTTGCACCGAAGGAGATACAGTGGGCTGACCTGGAAGAGAGGAAGATCTCATGAAGTTCCACACACTGCATCTTAAAAGCTCAACGTAACATTGATGGAGTAACTAGACTGATAAATGTATAGATTGTTTTTTTTCATCAAGACTGCAGGGGAGGGAGTGGGGAAAACGTCAAGGCAAAATTTCTCAAAACAGTACACGGGCAAGTAGATAAAAAATCATAAGACACCCCCCCCCCTTCTTCAGGGAGAGAAAAACATTATTTAAAAGCTAAACGTTAATACAACATTGATAAAGTAACAAAGCTGATCAAATACGCTTATACGTTGTCTCATCAAAACTGCAGGGGAACGCGTGAGAAAGAAAATATCTCAAGGAGAAGTTTCTCCATTGGCAAGATGGTAAGATTCATAAAACTTCCTTCTTAAGGAACAGGGGAAAAAAAACATTATTTAAAAGCTGGTAAGGGTGATTGGATGACTTCCTTTGCGTTCAGAATGTAATTCTAATGCCACAGGAGGCTATTATATCCAATGGACAAAAGAGATTCCTATTGTTCGGTCTTGGAGCCCAAATAAAAATTTGATTTGATCGCCCATTCTCCCCAGAATTCTTGTAGTTAAGTTAGTTCCGTGAACCAGAAATTCAATGGGTTTTACACGAGAGTGATACTTCCTGCATCGTCCCACCTAAGAATACCTTCATGTATCCGCAGGGAATTTATTTCACTTAGAAGACCATTTGGAAGAGGAAATAATTTTCTGATTATCTTAAATCTTACTCGAGTTGCAATTATTTTTCTTTGTGTTTTGCAGAAGACAAACAAGACTCTAGCAACAGAACATATGGATAACAGCATGCCTTAGGGAGAAGTACAGCTTGTAAATAGATTTACTATACCAATTATGAATTATAATTGTTTAGTTAATATTTTGTTTTGATACCAGGCCATGAAAAGATTAGGAACGAAGTGCCTTTTATATATTCAGTTTGCTCATTCTCCTGCTGGTTGTTCTCCCTGCATGTGTGAATTTCAGAGGCAGGAAGAGAAATATATTATTTTTAGTTCCTAAATGCAGTGATGTTTCTTCTCCATGGTAGAGCAGTCAATCCCATGAGCTGAAGCAGGAATCCTTTTCCTGGGAAACACATTTTCACCGAACAAAGGCATTAAAGGGAGACATAGAGTTGAGTTTCAGGGAATTATGATATCTTTGATATCCCCCCCTCAACTTTCCAAGGAATTTTATACTCAATGCAAAAGAAAGTTTGGTCAAGTCTTCTAGCCCACATTTAATCTGGCATTCTGTGGAGAACATCTCAGAGGTCTCCAATTTATGTCGGTTTACAACTTGATACAACATGACTTGGAAACACATTCTGAGTTGGTTCCCTTAGCCCAATATTGATGAAATGTTGAGAATTTCTTCTCATCTCCTTATTACAAGTCACT